ACTCTTTCTAGTGTTGGTAGAAAATACTGGGTGTTAGAGTTGAATTAAATCTGGGTAAATGAAAGCAGTTAGTATGCTCTTGTGCACAGAGCACGTGCTAACCTCACGTGGAGAAATTCCACATTTCCAGCAGCTTGTGTTTTGACGGAAATGTCGTTTTCTTTTTCTTCTCAGGCAGGTCAGACCCCTCTAGACGTTGCCAGACAGCACAATAACCCTGAGGTTGCACTCCTCCTCACTAAAGCATCACAGGTACGTTACAAACCTCTCCCAACACACACGTACTCACAGACCTGAGGCCATTTAACCTAGAGGGGACACATCCCCTGGTCCTTAACCTTCTGTTGTGAAAGGTGCCCACATTTCTGCCAGCATTGTGTGCTGCCCTCAGGTCTACTGACATGGAGCCTTTCAGCCCCTAAGCCCGGCAAGGTGTGAAGATTAAGCCTCAATATTAAGTGGTGGCAGAGGTCCTGGCTGTCCTCACTAGCAGAGGATGGAGCAGCCAGAAGCACTGGTTCCCTGTGGTGGCCCTGTACCCAAAAGCTCCCAGGTTGTCTCCATCTGCTGCCTGCCTCATATTTCCCCCCCCCCAAGGCACTGGAAGATGCTTTGAAATGGGGACAACATGTCCTGTTTATGCTCTGCTGCTGTGTGTGAAATGCTACAACGCTCTTCAGGCCGAAAGGCACGTGGGAGGGCTCTGTATTCTGGTATGAGACCAGGCGAGATCCCTGCCCTGCTCCTCCTTGTCACCTCTGCGTGAGAAAGGCTTGGCTTGCCTTGGCAACCAGCCCAGAGACACAGGAGGAGACTCTCACACACACCACCACTGAGCGGTGAACACCCCCATCGCTTGGTCCACCAGCACCCATCTGGCAGTGCACCTTCTTTTGTAAGTTGCCTTTTAGTAGCGGTGAAGAAGGTCTGCTCTGTTGCTTGGCTTCTGTGGTAGGAAAGAGCGTGACATCACTGACTGACAGTGTGGTCTGCCTTCAGGTCTCGCGCTTTAACCGTGGAAGAAGCCTGAGGAAGAAGAGAGAGAGGCTGAAGGAGGAAAGGCGAGCTCAGTCGGTGCCGCGGGATGAAGTGGTACAGAGCAAGGTACGGCCCGGCATTACCAGCTACGTCTGCGGCGAGGAGGGAGCGTAAACAAAACCCATCAGGACTGAATCTGTGTGGAGCCATCGCTTGTGCATGACCAGGGCAGCTGTCCAAGGCAGCCAGCCGCACTTTGTGCTAACGAGTTACCCGCTCTCGCGTGCAGAGCAGCCGAGAGCGGGGAAACTGCAGAAAGGGCACCTTTCCCTGTCTCTGCAACTGCTCTGAGCTCCTGTCTTTGCTTCAAGCAGGGCAGCATCTCCGCTGCGGAGGACACGCCGAGCAGCGACCAGCCACCGCAGAGGAAGAGCGATCTGAAGGACGAACCCCGGTCAACCTCACCAGATCCCAAAGGGAAGAAGAGCAAAAGGAAAAAGCCCAAGGAAAAGGTATCAGTAGGTTTAAAACAGCAGAGAGAGAAGGGATGGTCATTGAGCAACAGTACAGACGTCCCTTCGGCGTGTCGGTGAGTCAGGGCAGCAGCCCTGCCGCGCTCACAGGGCAGGGGCAGCCTTCAGACAAAACCGATTGCTGGGGGGGAAATTCTGCTGCTGAAATCTGGTTATTGTGCTGACAGACACCACGGCTGGGGCCAGCCACTGCAGCCAGGCTGATGTTTTAATCAGGTTTTTGCTGTAATTATCACAACGGATTGGCCCAGTTCCTGCCCAGTTTACCAGGGGGCTCATCAACAGGGAAAACATTGTGTGTATTTTATGCAGGTTTCGGCGCTCTCGGACCCCATCGCCCCAGCTGACCAGCAGACTCTCCCTCGGCCCCAGCAAAACGTGCCGAAGCGCAGGAGTAAACACCACTGCTCCTCTCCGCCCGCTCCCCACGAGGTGCGAGCCTACCAGCTGTACACGCTCTACCGAGGAAAGGACGGGAAGGTGATGCAGGTGAGCCGGCCGCTGCCCTCCGGGAGCGGGACGCACAGAGCAGCGCGCGGACTCGGGGCACAGTTAGCTAATGGACAGAAAACTTTCAGGGGCATGACATCACGACTGTGGATCTTGTTTTCCTTGTTTGGGCTTCAGATGTGTTTTGGCCTGAGGTCTGGTGAACAGTAAGCTGGTTTTGTGCATGCTACGGAAGACGTAGTTAAGTAGTTTGGATCTAAGAAGTGTTTCCTTTTTTGAAATAAGGTGTGAACAGTGATAGGAAATGACACTGGAACTTTTATGATGCACTCTGAAATATTAAGATTTCCTGCAGGAAATGCAAAGAGCTTCACCAGTGAAAAGAAACGAAAGCAGTTTGGAGCACTGAAGCTTGCTACCTAAACCCAGAGCTTCAGTACGCTCAGTACACTTTGTTTCAATTCTGTTTACTGCAGTGTGTCTTTGGGGATCCTGGGATTACTGGAGGCAGGAGTGGTATAGGAACTGGTTCACAAATAAACCAGGAGATACCAGCTCATGTGCATTTATTCCAGTTTAGAGACTGATATTTTACTCTGCTCCATTTATTTTCTTCCGCAAGTATTTACGAGTACACATTTATAAAAGAGCATGAAAACAGTCCGCAAATTACTCTGCGGACACTGTAAACTTCTACACTGTTGCTTTCTTAGTATTTCCCTCCTGTACCTCTGGGAGGTCAATCCTTTCATTTCCTCGGCTTCTCACATCCATCCCCCAGCTCTCCTCGGTCCCTTGCTGCAGTTAAGAAATTCAGCAGATTCTGAAGATCACTCAGGTCAGACTTTGGCGGTTTTAGTGGCTGTACTTTCCTCAGGCTTGGGAAATTTCCAGACGGGGTCACTATGGGATTATCCCAATAGCAGGCATCAGGAAGGATGGGGGACTTTTCATACGTTAAAAGGAGCATCTCCCTGCCCCTAGGATCAGATGGTAGGAGGATGGGCCAGCAGGAAGGACTTGGGGAGCAGGAAGAAAGGTGCAGAGCGCAGATAGGATTCGTATACAAATCTGATCTATCCACAAAGATTAGCTCAATACAGCTAGACTCCCTTCTAGCATTTCCTGAAATACATGACGCTCCTCTCGCCCCTTCTTTTTTGCTCATCTGTCTTCTCTGATGCCCTCAGGCCATGAATAGCAAACAGAATATCCTAAGCATGTGTATTTCTGCAGCTTTCTGTAGCGCTCTGCAAACCACCCGCCTTCCCCTGCCCAGGGAGTAGCCCCCCAGTGTGTGGAACAGGACCGCAGGGCCGAGGGAGGGAGGCTCCTCTGCGGACAGGTTCAGGGCTGCCGCGTCGGGCTCCTGACTCGCCCCCAAAGGAGCCCATTTGTGCTGGGGGACTGCAGAGGAAGCCGATGATGACGATTAGCTGTCCTCTCCTGAGGGAGCCTTCTGTGGCCATCTCCGCAAGAGATGTAAACGCGTTCGGTGCAGCCCCTCCGGCAGAGGAGCCTTGGGAGGTGTCGCGCAGGTGAAGGCAAACAGGAGCAGGGAGGGCGACTTTGCCACGTAGCCCCAGCAAAATCAGCACTGCTGTGTGTTAGGATGCATCCATATAAATCAGACAAATCCTGTCTTAGTCTGTGCTTTTCCAGCTAACAGCCTGCTTGCCAAGCTGCAGTAAGATGTTACCAGGAGGGTGAGCTACAGTGCACGGTGCAGAGGAGCCCAGGACAGACTCAAGGAGGCTGTGATAATGTTCCAAGTGTGCTAAGAGGGCAGCAGGATGTGGCAAGTGACTGTATTGCTCCTTTCAGGCACCGATAAATGGATGTCGCTGTGAGCCCCTGATAAATAAACTGGAGAATCAGCTGGAGGCAACGGTGGAAGAGATAAAAGCTGAGTTTGGGACAGTACAAGATAAGATGAATGTTAAGCTGGGCCAGATGGAAAGCAAAACTCAACATCAAGTAAGAATATGACCTGGAGGTCTGCTTGCCCACATGACTATTAGAAACATATCCTAAGCTTGATGAGCATTTCATTGTCATGATTCGTGTATTGGTTCTTGTCTTGTCAAAACAAACCTGATATCTAATACTCAAGACCAGGGAACTGTGACATTCCACAGGGATCTAAAGTTGCAAACCAGGGTCTTGAGAAAAACACATTTAATGTGTTAAGTGGCTTCAGGTGCTTCTTTAGACAATAAATCTAAAGGGCTTGAGCCCCTAAGGGGGAAGCTTAAAGACAGAAGGCAGTCCTGCAGCTGGTCAGTTCGTAATGGTAAAAATCCCTCTTGCCAAATTCTGTTTGCACTGAGATTCAAGATCCTCTAATTTTTTTTTTTTTTTTTAATGTAATTGTTATTTATCGGTAATTCTGTGCTTGGACCTTTTTTGAAGCTACATCTAACTGTAGCTGGCAACATTCCTAGAAATGAAGACTGAAAGACAGACTGTAATTTGACTTACAAGGGTCACAGATGGGGTTTTGTTTGGTTTTTAACATGATCATCTCAGCTAAATTGTGGGGTTTTTTTTTCCACAGCTCCGTGTTTTAGACAAGCTGATGGCTGAGCGTCTGTCTGCAGAGAGAACAGAGTGCCTTCACCGCCTGCAACAGCACGCTGAGCTGGAAAAAAATGAGGGGGAGAAACGGCAGGTAGGGCTTGGAATGGCTACCCCCGGTTAGCTCAGATGGATCAGCTCGAGAGTTTCGTTCCAGCAGGCACAGAGAATACTGCAGATTTGTCTCAACTGTTGAAACAAGCAAAAAAGCTTCAGAGGCGTAAATATTCCTGTCCACCACCTTAATCTCTACACCAAACTTAACCAAGATTTTGCATGAGAAATGGTGAACGTGAAATCCAGTCCCACTGTCATAATTTCATTTGGTGGGTCTGACGTGTGGGATCTGGAACAAAATATCTTTTTTCTAACGCAGTGCTTGGCAAAAATTCCTACTGCTAAATTTTTAACAGTTGTGCTTTCAGGCTTTGCTTCATTAAAGGACCTCTGCAGGAACATCTGCAAATAGTACCAGAGGCTAAGATCTGTGCTGTTCCTTTTACTTCGCATCCATTTGGTTGTGAGCCCTGGGAATCTCTCCCTTCTTCTCTGTCTGATCTTTTTTTTCCCCCATGCATTAAAAGGCTGCAGTTCTTCCCTCTGACTTTGGCGACGACGCACCATCTCCAAGCCGTGTATTACTGCCAGTAGGCAAGTTCTTTTTGTATGCTTGTTTAACCAGCATTACAAGAATAACTGTTCCCGTAGAGATCCAGCTCTTGCCCTTCTAGCTTCTGCAAAAACTCACCATTAACACATGCCAAGAAGTTTGTGTTTCTCCACTCACACAGGTAAACTTAAAATACAGTTCATTTTCTCATTATTGGTATTCTTCTCAGAACTGAGAAATACGCTTCGTGCTAGTAAAAGGTCAAAGCTTCTTGTGAGATCGTTCCAAATCCGTGTTAAAAGACTGGCAGCTGTGGTAACCTCAGCATAGACTATTGATCAGCATCCCCTGGTCTCACGCTTTCCTCAAAAGAAATGAGGCGCTGCAGCAATACATCAGGTGAACTGAAATTACCATTAACCGATATCAGCTGCTCCTGCTCTGGTGGGTCTGACTGCAACTGCTGGAAAAACTGATTTGGGTTTGACTAAACGGCCACGTGCGCAGGAGCGCCTGACCTGAACTCGTGATGCCATGTGAAAAAGAGGGTAAAAGAGCTACTCGTATTTTAAATGATTACTGGCAACTGACACTTACTAAGCACCTTTGTAATTTGAAAGCTGTTAGTAATTTATCGTTTAGTGTTGGACTCATCTTTATCACCAGATGAACAGAGGAGCAGAGGCTGGTATAAAGCTGTATCCCAGGAGTGTCCAATCTGAATTTCACTCTTAAAAAATGGCAGCTGTGACCACGTGACGTTCCGTGCACTTAGAAAGTACCATTGACTGTATGCCTGAACAAGTCAGCCTTGATAGCGGCATTTGAAGTAGCACTTTCAAATCTACGAGGTGCAGGCTTGGACTAAAGAGGGTGCCTTTCATCAGCTAACGCATGGTTCTTCATCTGTCCTGATCTGCAGCCCTTTAAGTATTCCTGGTGGCAGCGCGCGTATCTGTACAAGGAGTCTACGCCTGCAGACAGCAGGCTTGCTTCCCTCTGTCCCTGCCACGCATCCTCGGCAGCCCGGGAACCACAGGATCTAATCTACAGTCTCTTTCTCACAGATTTCCTTGGTCAATGAGCTGAAGACGTGGTGCATGTTGAAGATTCAGAATCTGGAGCTCAAGCTTTCCGGCGATTCCAGGTCATCAAGACCAAAATCAACTTTGTCCACTTGGGAGTCTCTCGCTGAGACCCTGGATACTGAGAACAACCCCCAGAGTGCCAAGGACTGCCAAGCCAGCCAGCCCGCGCTGCAGCCGGAGGGCTCCCACCAGCACTCCTGCCTCACGCTCCCCAACAGCCTCTCGGAAGATGGCGGCAGGAGCAGAGTCCAGGTGCCAGAGCAGAGCTTTGGCCAACACTTTTGCGTCCAACAAGACGGTGCATCAGGTACAACCTTGTCAGGTACTTTGATGTCGTATTCATGCAAAGGCGAGCTAATTAACTGAGGGGTACTCGTATTAATGCCAGAGATGTATTAATGCCACAGATTAATTCTGCTGTGTGCTTTCCCCCATCCATAAGTCTGAGGTCTGGGGATTAGAATACACTTCAAGGCAGCTGCTGGGAATATTTTCAGACACGGCTGGGTGGAATTCTGCTGGCTCTTCCTGATGCGTCCATGTCACTGTGTCTCTGAAGCCAAGTCCTTTGGTGCTCTGAATAACTCTGTTTTCTGAAATTTCTCCAGCTTCCCAGTCAGAATTGCTCCCACCCTGCTGTCTGTCAGCAAGCCGTGCAGATTATCCAAAGTCTACTGAAGAAAGAGTATTGTATTTAGCGCTTTTCAGATGTGCAGAAGCTGTAATGGCAGGGTCCAAGGACCTAAAATACTCATTTCCCTTGTTAATCTTCAGACTGCAAGGATACAGAATAAACCTCTCGCTTCTTACTCTTTCCTTGAACCAAAGTGTCTTTAATTATTAGTTCGTCTGACAAGAACCAAAATAGCTGAGAACATTCAGGCCCATTCAGGGAAGGCCACTCGAAGCTGTGGAAGACCTTGGCTTGAAGCCACCTCTCTCTGCTTGGCCAGGGAAGCTTTTGAGGGGGCAAAAAAAAAAATAAATGAAGAGACAGGTGGAATGCCCAGGTCTCCCCAGCCAAGGAGAATGCTGTCAACAGCCCTGGGCTTCTGTAAAACACATTGCATAGGCCCCCCAAGAGACTATGCAAAGAGAACGGACACGGACACCCCAGACTAGAGAGGCAGAAGGCCACACAGGAGATCTTGTGGCAGCATGAGTCTGAGCTACTGCAATGAACAGTTCAGGAGCATCAGAATGTGTCACCTTTGCAAAATTAGTGGGGCTTCCGGTTTTGTAGAAGCAGGGGGTTCACAAATACCCGCAGCCGTAAGCTACTTTGGGAATCTAGCCCGACCTTTGCTACACGTCCTTCTTGTGCAGCCCTTTGATTGCTGTCAGCCTGTGGTCCCGCAGCGCAGCGCCTCTCTGCTTTTCTCTTTTAATGACCAGTACACCACCCGACTGTGAAGAGGCGATAAACTCATACGAGCCTCCGCAGCGTACATGCAGCACGGTGCGTGGGAGACCGCATCATTCATCGAATGAGGATTTCTGAATGCTAAAATAAATGCCCAGAGCTGCTCTAAATGCTTCTGTGCATATTTTATTCTGTAGGTACAGAGCAACAGTTAATCGCTGGTGGACCCGCTTCTTCTGCCCCGGCTCAAGACGTCAGGCCAAAGGACAGAGCTGTTGGTGCCAGCACGTTCCACAGGTTCCAGCAGGAGCTGCCCTCCCCCGAGCTTTTGGGCTCCAAATTAAGGCATGTTAAGGTTCAAGCTGCTTTGCAGCCCTCGGCGGAACCTGCGAAGACGGAACCGCAGAGCGGCTACTTCATGGACAAAGGAACCCAGACAAAGAAGTCCAGCAGAAGCGGGCAGTCGAGGCACAAAGCCGCGCACCACGGCGGGGCACACCAGGGCCAGGAGCCGCAGCCCTCGG